ATCGAGAAGATAGCCATACTAAAAATGGAGATGGGCAGGACACATAGCCAGAATGACAGATGGGCGATGGACAAAGAGGTTATTGGAATGGAGGCCAAGGGAAGACAAGAGAAGCGTCGGTCGACCACCTACAAGATGGACTGACGATTTAAGAAGAATTAATAAAAATTGGATAAAAGAGCGGCGCAAGATAGACGGGGTTGGAAACATGAGAAAGAGGCCTATGTTGAGCAGTGGACTCTTGAGACTGGATGATGAGAGGAGAACAAAGAATTGTTAAAGGGGATGTTGGAGTGTTGAAGAAGAGCTATTCAAAAGGGAGGACTTAAGGTTAGCAGAAACTAGAATTGCTTGGAGAAAAACTAGACTGATTAACAGAATTTAAATACCTTGGCTTCTACTTAATGGAAAATGACACGCTAAATCAACAAATTGCTCACAAAATACAGGAATGGTTGAAAGGAATGATTATTACAAATCCAATCATTGCGTCTGAAATTTTACATCTTCTTGAAACTTGCATAAGCCAAGACCACTTTGAATTTAATATTCAAATATTTTTTATCAGATCTATTAGATTTCTATTAGATATTTTTATGGGCCATCTAGAACAAAGATTTCAAAATATCTTATATTCAAACAGTTTTTGTATTAGTGGAGATAAGTAGACGATGTACTGGTATGTTTTACAGGAATTAACAGACAACTTGAACCATTCTTCTCATATATTTATTCTCTTCATAGTCATATTGAATACACAATCGAAACAGAACAGAATCAATCCATAAATTTTCTAGATTTAAAAATTATCAGACTTAAAAACAAACATGAGTTCTCCGTATTTCATAAACCTACCCATACTGACACGACTATACAAAATTCATCATCCCATCTACACAAAATAAGTTGCTTGCCTACCATAGCATATCACATAGATTAATAGAAATATCCCTAACAAAAAATTACTTCGAGATAGAACTGAATATCATTAAGCAAATAGCAGTAAATAATGGGTACAACGAACACACAAAAATACAATTTTAAATCAAGAACTACATAAGAAATCCCTGCAATTAGTATTTCCACCACCAAAGAAAAACCCAATACCTCCTGCTCGATTACATATAAGGCAAGATATCAACAAAAATAGCCAAACACATAAAAAGAAAGGACTAACACCAGATTTTGGTACATGGATAAATTCGTGTCACCTCCAAATTATGAAAATTGGCAGAACCCTGGTCTTTCTGGCCTGTCGGCATACGACCATATGCCGAAACACCGTGGGCTCCACCTTACTCGTAGTATCTGTATTGCGAGTAAGTAACCCGTCCAGAGATCCCCCCTCCCCCACGGGGCGGAAAAGATGACTCAGGCGGAGGAATTCTACCTCGCACGTAGACAGGTTACCGCCGAGGAATCACTCCTCTGCCATTCTTAAATCTTTCCAGGTAGGTGCGTTTCTACAGACCCGACACCTCAAACGACGGCTCTCCACCTCTCATTACCTACCCATAAGTTGCCTTTTATTAACAGCAGGGTCTACTGGCCTCGGCCGTATTTTTATCTCCGCAAGCCGAACGGACAGATTTTGGTACAAAAAACAACTTAGTCAAATATATTAAGAACAATAAGAGCCAACAGAAAATGCAATTATACAGCGGTGTATAGAAACTTAAATGTGGCGACCGCCCAAAACCTTACATCGGTCAAACTTGTAGAACTTTTATTAAACGTATACCAGAACATAAAAGGACTTTCAATAAAAGAAAAACAGATTCTACGTACGGACTTCACCTTCAAGTTTAAATTCGTCACATTAAAATAGATGCCTTAATCTATCTTTAACCAGTGGCGCACCGAGGAGGGGGGTTTTGGGAGTCAAACCTCCCCCAAGACCTTATTCCGACACTGTTATTTACAAATTTTAAGGACTTAAAATGGTGGAGGTAGCATAAAAAAATTTCAGTGTCCAACCAAACCCCCCCCCCCCCCAAAGGACAATTCTAGGTGCGCTACTGTCTTTAGCGTTAATACCTGAATGTGTATTACCTTTTATAATGAAATTTTGTTGAAGAATGTAGATCATTAAACTTAAAATCAACGTGTTTTAGATATTTTAAAAAGGCTTTTCATTTAGGAAATATCGAATGTATTCCATACTTTACGGACATACTGTATATACATTACAATCTAAAATTTTATTAGAGCAAAAGTTAATGTTATTCCCTATTTACCTTTTGTGTATGTAAATTAGTCTGTAATACATAGGGAATTCTATAATTTCTATTAAACCTAAAATCAAATCAAATTCATTAAATATCGAAAACGGGTAATAGCTACATGATGGACAATTTCAAGTTTGACGTTGACTAATTACCTATTTAGGTAATTGGGTCGTTGAGCACTTTTAATTGATATGATAAATTGTAAAAAAATAACAAAAGCAATTAAAACACTCTCATATTAAAAGCAGGAATAATTTAAAATTTATTTTATTTAACATTTTAGTGGAGTATGTGGCGAAATAGGAGAGTTTTTAAAAATAGATCAGTAACGATTCTTTGATCACTTGAATTATAACACTTTACTGCATCATGTTGTTTAAAAAGCAACATACTAAAAATAAACATATATTTTAATAGCAGATCAAGATGAATGAGCTTGTACATGACGTTGTTTTCTAACAATGCAATATTAATCAGCGTAAGTAGACTGCTGACCGAGTGAAGATCATGCGAGGAGTAAGGCAAGGCTGTGTGTTCTCGCCGACTCTTTTCAATATATACCAATAGCCGATGATCGCCAATAGCCAGACGGGATAAGGCATGGAAAAAGAAGAAGTAGACTAAAAAATCATATACGGTGTTAATTACCAATAATGTGTCTTCTTAGCTAGGTAGTGTACATGATTAGACACTGACACGTGGCTCAGATCGTTTTTGTTAGATTTATCAAAGTCATTGAAGTAAATATATTTTATGTGTTATTAATATGGTAAGATAAATGCATGATTTCTTGCGGTATATAGTACTCATAGAGTTTAGTAGTACAGGTTTTTCTCATAAAGATGATTTTGTTGTTATTGTTAACAAACAGCATCATGCATAGCTAGAAAATTGTATCTTTTAGATAAAACATCATGAGTTGGAGATATAAAAGGCCGGTCACCGAAAAGAAACTTATAGGTATAATAAATAGGCTTTGGGATACCAAAGATGAGTTTCATGATGACGATGATATTGTCGATCCAGATTTCTTACCTGACAAACAAGTCAGTACATATGGTGAGTCTGATAATGGAGATTCTGAACCAATGAACGAAGTGGATAAGAATGCTGTAGACACTTATATAGTCAATAGCACTGTAGAGGATAAAACCTCCAGAAATTATGGTTTATTCCGGGCATAGGTACACTTATTTTACAACCAATGAGTGATTAAAAACACTAAATTTTTTTTTATGTTTAGACATTATAGGGAGAAAACAAAATTAAACTTATCTGAACAGCAACTGAAATTTAGAGGAAATTAGAGTCTTCCAAAGCATATCCTACAACTAGAAAGTCCCTATGAGTATTTCAATTTATTCTTCACAGATAGCATTTTAGACAAAATTGTGAAGGAGTCAAATTTATATGCAACTCAGCAGAATTCTAACAAAACCACTACACGAATTACAAGAAATGACATAAAGCAGTTTATTGGAATTACAATATATATTTCCCATGTTCATTTGTCGAATGCAAGGGCATATTGGTCAGAAGAAATTGGCTTTGAGAAAATAAAAACTGCTATGTCAGTCAATAGGTACGAAAAAATCAGACAAATTTTACATTTCAATAATAACTAGAATGCCTTATCCCCTGACAATTCAAACTACGATACAGTTTATAAAATTGGACCAATAATTGATCAGCTCAATAAAGCCTTTTCAAACGGACTTCCACTGGAACATTATCTGTCCGTCGATGAGCAAATTTGTTTTATTAAAGCAAGGTACTACATGATGCTGTACCTACCAAACAAGTCACATAAATGTGGTTTTTAAATTTTTTGTCTTATGCAGTAGCTCTGGATATGCGTATCCTATAGTGTTATATACAGGACAAGAGAATCATAAAAAAAACGAGATCTACTTTTAAACCTGACCTTGGAGCACCTGTAAATGTTGTTGAGAGATTGGCTAGAATTATTCCTAGAAATATGACTCACCCGCTTTATTTTGACAATGATTACTCTCCTATAGCTCTTCAAACAAGGTATTTACAATTTAAGAACCCTAAGAAAATATAGGATTTTAAATTGTAGGCTTCCGGATGAAAAGGCTATGAAAAATGAAGAAAGAGGTCCTAGTGTAGAGTTTGTTGGTACTTGCAATGGTGTGGAAATAAGTAGCTTAGTGTCTACTAGTCACGTTTAGGTAATAGTTTTTTCACTAAGATCATAGGCAGTGGCTGCATTATTTTTAACAATCTTGTCATGTTTAGTATGGATTCCAGCACCAATTCTGTACATCTTTTGTTCATTTCAGGTCTATGATGCCCTTTTCACCAGCACGTGCAACTGTGAATGATACTCTTGAAGGATTGTAGAACTCTTGAAGAACTTTACGAAGGCTTTGTGCGTTTTACAGGGCAATTTCTTATAAAGTAACACCTTTGTATCCATGACCCTTAGTAACACCAATGCAATCAATCATTTCAATTGTCCTGTAATAAACACAAAGGTTTTCGTAAAGTTGCCTGTATTGGAGCATGGCATACTTCAAGAGTATGATTCACAGTTGCACGTGCTGGTCAAAAGGATTACCATCATTGAACTGAAATGAACAAAATGATATACAGAATTGGTGCTGAAATCCACACTAAAGGTGGCAAGGTTGTTAAAAATAATGCAGCCACTGCCTATGATCTTAGTAAAAAAACTAGACTCCAATGGGTGATTTTCCCCACTATGGTGTAGTTAACAATGACTTTGTTATGATTAAGAGATGTTATATGGGACGAAAGAAACGTGTTATTACTTTGAGGAAGTCATTATTAGTCCACACTAAATGTATTGCTTTGGAAAAGATCAACCGTAAATTCATTGATACCTCATCTAAATTTGGTTATGGTAGATTCCAGATAGCTACCGATAAAGCTGCATTCATCTATCCACTTAAAAAAGATAGAGTTAAGGAAGAAGAGAAGGCTGCTGCTCTTGCTGCAACTGTATCTAGTTAAAATGTAACTATTTCTATTAGCTGAAGTTTTTTATAGTTTTCTTAATACAGATTTTATTAACACAGATAATATATTTTAACCCTTACTTCAATATCGTGTCTTGTAGTAATAATTTTAAACTTTAAACTTATTTATCTCTTTACATTATCATGACTAGAGAAGTTGGGGGTTTTTGTATTCAACTTTGTACCTGTGCAAAACCTCCCGAGGGCAGTCACGACAGTAAACAAGAAACGAGTTTATTTTCTGCCATTACTTAATAAATACCAGCCAAGCATTCCACCCCTTACATATCTTGGGTACTTGATTTATTCTACAGTTTAAATAAAACATGAGCACTGACGTGTCCTTTAATAAAGTCGAATCTATTTAACAGAGCGAGAAATTCACAACCAGTGACTCCGAATTGCATATACGAAAGCCACTATATACCTTCAAGGGAAGACTTTTTAGTCGGTGTCGTAATCGGGGAGGAATTAAATAGTCCGATAGATTTAGACACATGTCCATAAAAATAAAAATTTTAAATATTTACACTTATATACACTTTAATTTATTTGATATATATTGCTATGATATTTTGTTTGTGTATTGTTTTATGAGCAATGAGTATTTTTGAATAACGTATATAGGGTTTTTATCGCGGTTCTCAAAGAATTAGTTTGTAAGTACTTTTGAAATTATCTTTATTATAATTATTATGAAACACACATATATATCTAATTTAGACAATATTTAAATATAAATGTAAAACAACCTATCTTTAAAATGAAATTCTTATTACAACAATTAAATTATACTAATAAAATTTGGTACCTTTCTGTCACTGAATGCCTAAATGAAATTGTTTTTTAAAATAAAGGTTTTAATTACCACTCAATGTCTCCGTTATCAGCCTCTGGATTATCCTTCTTTTTATGAAATCATTTTGCCAAATAGACCACAATATTTCAATTAGCAGCTTCCACCATTTCAAAATATTTTTCTTCTTATTAACATTTATAAATGGGTAAAATATTTTTTTTGTTTACTTGGTTAACTTTAACTATTTATAATTTATATATTACTTGCTTTCTTTTTTAATCTTCTTTCTAATAATCTTTTTTTTTCTTCAATCTCCAATCACCATATAAATATTATAATTTTTAATTTCTTCTAATCTCCAATCACCACATAAATAATATAATTTTTAATCTTGACCTAATACCCTTTTAATACTATTTTTTAATCTCCACCTAATACACTTTCCAATATTACAATACTTAATACTCTAATACTTTAATACTTAATACCCAATACTGAATCTTGAATACTTATGCTGCAAATCACAGCGTATTTATAAATATTTCAATGTTCACGAATATTCTCGAAAGAAAATAGGTTCGAATCTCTTTCATTTTGTAAATATTTCACTGTTCGCGAATATTCTCCTACGAAAAGAGTTTAAATTCTTTCTATTGACGTCTTATTTTAAACCTCTAGATAATTCTTTACTTTTCTATCGAGAATTTTATGGAAATTTGGGCTTTTCAGATCAGAATATAAACTTATATATAAATTAAACATCTTAAATTAATAAATAACACTATTTTAATCCGTAATTATTATTTTAAATGTCCACTTTCTGTTCCATATCACTCTTATTCTCAAAAGTTCCAACAACCAAACTTACTTCAGTGTATCTTTGGTTGCCTATATAGATGACATAAACATTATTAAAATAACCAAATACATTGCAAAATAAAAACTTTTTAAACAAATTATTATGCTAATTTCTTAAGGATGGCCTCATATAAATACTTTTTATAAGATTCTCTAGTATATAACTTAAGTGACTCGAGTATCAGCAACTTTCGCTGAAAACACTGTCATATTAGCATTAGCAACTTTTATTTTATTTAATAAGAATTCATCATGTAATTTTATTGGACTAATAAAATGTACCAAATAACAAGCAAAAAAGTCCACAGCCGTGTGCCCTTAGGTGCGGGCATAAAAAAGGGAGAAAAAAAGAGTACAAGTGCGGCCGATGGAATGATAGCTTTGGACAGGAGGGTGTTTTAAGAGATTAGGGTTAGTCTGATTCCCGATGGAAAGTTATGTTAGGGCCAAAGGAACACTTGACCAAACAAACTTTCAAGGGTTATTGAAAGAATCGCGTGGTGGTCGATGGGAAGTAACGACGGGAAGAGTTTACTTGCCAGGCAAATTTAAATCAAGTGAGAATTTCGGTAAAACTTTGGATTTAATTACATAGGAATGAGAAAAGTAACTGAAACGATCCATTTATTTTTAATTGCGATTTTTTGAGGATTAATTCTTTTTAGTGATGTTCTGAACACCGGCTCAAATTTTTCAAATTCTTTTCAAGCAGATTTTTTTAATAATTATATTACATTCCGCTAAAAATCTATCGTTCAGCAATTACACTTCCACCCAACATACAACTATTATTAAATTTAGAAGCTTATATGAGAAGCATACATGCAAAAACCGATAAATCCATTTTTTTGGATTTTTTTAACCTGAATTTGGACTCATATCAATTTAGTAACCCTCTCTGTTTCTAGAATGTAAAATTCCAACAAAAACCGATATTTTTCCTTTAAAATGATGCATAAAGTTGACCAGTTCAAGCAAATGCCGATAAATCCAATTTTAAGCAAAATCCGATATATCTTTAAATAATTAATTCTCCGTAACAATAAAACACTGAAAACTTTGTTTTCAAACTTCCACAAAATTTATTTTAAACTCTTATCACTACACCTGTTTCGGCTGATTGCTTGTCTCAAGTGAAATAGGTTAAGTAGGGGAGAACTGTTTGTCTCAAGTTGGTCATTCAGAATTATATCTGTGTTTTTTATTTGTTGATTTCCATAGATTCTAACAAGGATGGCTTTAAGGCCTTCATTTTGAATGTGAAGAATTTTAAATTCATCATTAAAAGAATGATTGTGATATAGAAGGTGAAATGCGTAGGTTGAATCTGTTTTTCTATTATTGAAAGCCCTTTTATGTTCTGCTATTAATTTATTAAAGTTTCTACCAGTTTGACCAATGTAAGTTTTTGGGCAGTCCAACATTTACGTTTGTACACACCACTGTGTAAGTCTTTTTTATTTTGGCTCTTGTTGTTTTTAATATATATGCCTAGGTTGTTATTTGTTCGGAAAGCTGGTGTTATTCCTTTCTTTTTTATGTGTTATGGCCTTAAGCTATCCTTGTTAGAATCTATGGAAATCAAACAAATTAAAAAACACAGATATAATTCTGAATGACCAACTTGAAACAAACAGTTCTCCCCTCCTTAACCTATTTCACTAGAGACTATAAAGTGTAAATGCATGTCAAAAATAGATCTTTTAAAAAACAATTAGTCTCGTGTGTCCAATTCGTAGGTTCGTTATCACCAATTGTTCTCTTCTGTTTCTGGTTGAGGGTTCCCAAGCTCTAACGTCATTTTTAATTTGCTTCAATGATGTTTGAGAAGATTGCCATTCGTTTTTCCACTTGCACAAAACTCGATTTTTTATATAATAAATCTTTTATATCACTCGCGGTATTTCGATACTCGGCTTTTTCTATATCGGCACTTTTAGCAATTTCACTTGCGCACTGGTCCGCACTTTCGTTGCCAGCAATGCCAATGTGGGATGGAAATCCATATAAATATGATTCTTCTAGAATTTTCTGGAGCCTGCATGAGTTCTAGTTTTATGAGTTTCTCAAGGGAACCTTTAGAATAGATTTGTTTAAGGGTTTGCAGGGCGCTTAGTAAGTCACTTAAGATAACAGAGTTACATAGAGCTCAGCAGAGAAAATCGAAAAAAAAAAGGTTGGAAGACGAAATAGATATGTATCGCTTGGAGTAAAGAATGCAGCACCTACTCCTTTATCACACTTAAAATGCATCTGTAAATATTTTATAGCAATCTTCGTAATGCTGTTTTCTTCCTCCTACATTTCGGAATAATAGTTGTTAACTCTTACACGAAAAGATTTGATTTCTAGAAAATTCTTAATAAAATAAAGACAATTTTCACGACTGTTCCGTGACTGTAACTTTTTTAAAATGTTAAATCTAGAACATGTATTAAATGCTTTTCTTAGTTATGGGATTTTGCTGTACAAGTTTTTGGTTTTTTTTTTTCAAAATTGGAAAAAGTGGATTTAGTGATTTTTTGCGTGTATGTTCCTTATATGTACTTTAACATTCTTTAATATTTTCTTTCTTCAATATAGAGATTAGCATTTGTTACCTATTTTGTTAAACTTCGCGGTAGCAAGAAGCGGCAATTTTACTCTTTTAATTTTTTAGTTTGTTCAGTCAGTCGATTATCCTCCAAGTGCTTTTGTCATTTATAAATGCAACACGAATGATAAAGGCAGTGTATCTTATTTCAATTTTTATTTCTTCAAAAGACGGTAGTAGTACTTTTATACAGTATATATTTTCCACCATTTTATCCTCATATGTCGATGCATACTCTGTATTTATTATTTCCTTAAAGTATATAGCTGAAATGCTTTTCTGTATAATATTAAGTACAGTAGCGATATAAAGGAACACACCACAAATAAATACATAAAAATTCAGACTATAATTTAAAGACATTACACATATTTTCAGCAATATTATGTCATTTCGTGCTCTATATTTCTAGAATATAATTAAATTATAATTAAGACAAGAGACGACAAGTATCTTTTGAATGAAAAAATTCTTGAAAACTGTAAATAAATGCAGTTATGATGAAACATTAAAATATCATTACAATCGTACATCTACTGTTGTTATAAAAAAGAGACCCGGCGCGGCGGCATATAATTAATGTATGTCCATATTGCTAACGTCTCTCCAAAAACCGTTAAAAAATTTTAATTGTGTATGTTTAATGTAAAAAATATCATCAGTTATATTATTTCTGAAGTTCAATGTATAGTAAAAATATGTTTAAAATTCGAATATTAGGTTTTTTAATATTTATTTTACAAAA